GTGTTCTCTGCATATAGCAGGAAACTAGCATGAAATATTGTTCCAGGCCCTGGGTTCTATGTGACATTACATTAGGAATTGGATTGTTTGGGTTTGCTTTGTGTTTTTGAGGTAGAGGAGGAAATGGGAATCTTTTTCTCTTCCAGGAGTCAATGGAAGAATAGTTCTCTAGCTAAGGAACAGACATACCTTTGTTTTAAAATATTTTATATCAATCTAGAAATAAGGATTTAAAATAACCTGCACAAGGATAGAGAGAAACTATGTGACTGATTCTGGCAAAAGACTTCTTGCAGTTGTGAGTTATTTAGAAATGATCAGAATTTGTAATTAGGCTAATCCATTTAGTGATTCCTAATATTTTGTACTCACAGAGAACTAATTGAGTAAACAACTTGAACGCTAGTGGTTTGCCCTTAGACAATCTGTCTTTGAATTGAAAGTCTTTATTGCTAAGACCTTGACTTGAAATTTTTCATCACTACAACCTTGAATTTAATTTCAAGTCTTCAACATGATGACCTTTAAAGTCTTCAATACTATGCGCTTTATCATATTATTCACAGATGCATTTTTGAAATGTAGTGTGTAAAAGTATGTAGTGTGCTGTTTATTAACAAAAGATTGTTCACAACATCTTATGTAGTTTAAATTTGTAAATACTGCTTCTGTTTCATTTCTTCTTTATACACTTGACTGTCTTTGTGATAAGTGACATGAATTTTATGTTAGGATTAAGTATGTTTTCCTGAAACTTGGATTTTTTTTGTAATTATACAATTGAGAGTTAAGAATGAAATCCTTCGAGTGTTAAAAACTCACATTTTAAAAGCAAATTTTGATTCCAATCTTGTATTTTGTATACTTGCCTATTTTTCATAAACTAACATTAATCAGCCTTTGCTTTTAACATAGAAGATGGGATGGATTCTTGCTGACCTGCTGTGAGTATAGCAGGCCCATTCAAAGTCTTCTCCTGGCTTTGACTGTACCCTCTTGTGTGCTCTATCGTCCATTTCCCCCCAAGAACAGTTCCTTTGTAGAGAAAACTATAAGAAAAGGAAGTGGCATTCAAGGCTAAGCAGCTGCCATTAGGGACCATGAAGACAAACTTACCTTTTCATATTCACACATGTCGAAATGTTCTGAAATAGACTAAGTCATTTTTCCTGCTTACTTTTCATTTAATGGAGTATAACCAGGCTATCAAATACTATTATGGCTATCCTTTAAAAGAAAAATCGATTGTCTTTGTTTAGTTTGTTATAGCAAAATACCTTAGACTGAGTAATTTGTAAACAGTAGAGATTTATTGCTCACAGTTCTGGAGAGTGGGAAGTCCAAGATCAAGGCGTCAGCAAATTTGGTGTCTGGTAAGTGCTCACTCTCTGCTTCAAAGATGGCACCATCCTGCCATGTCTTTATGTGGTGGAAGGGGCAAACAAGTGTCCTCAGGCCTCTTTTATAAGGGCATTAATCCCTTTCATGAGGGCAGAGCCTAAAGGCCCTACCTCTTAATACCATTGCTTTAGGGATTAGATTTCAACAATATGGGGGAACACAAACATTCAGACCACAGCGTCAACCCACTTAAATTTTTTTCAAAACTGAATTGTCCCAATAAAGCAGTAATCAAAAACTAATAAATCTTGGTGATTAAAGCTGGCCCCAGAATCCCGTGCCAGTTTTTCCATTTTTCTCTTTTCTGGATGAGCTCTCTCTCCATTTCCAGAGTACTCATGATGCCCCAAATCTCCCAACTCTTGCTCCTCAGAAGGCTTTGATTTGCTTATACTCTCATTAGAATGTATATTCTCTTAGTATGACCTCTAGTTCAAACGAAGGTGTAGTTTTTTTTTTTTTTTTTAGACAGTCTTGCTGTACCTCCCAGACTGGAGTGCAGTGGCATGATCTCAGCTGACTCCAACCCCCACCTCCAGGGTTCAAACGATTCTCATGCCTCAGACTCCAGGGTAGCTGGGATCACAGGTACATACCACCATGCCCAGCTAATTTTTTGCATTTTTAGTAGAGCTGGGGTTTCGTTATGTTGACCAGGCTGGTCTGGATCTCCTGTCCTCAAGTGATCTGCCTCCCTCAGCCTCCCAGAGTGCTGGAATTACAGGCGTGAGCCACCATGCCCAGCCTGTGGTGTAGTTTGTTGATAACAGGCTTCTGTATTTACTGCCGTTGGCAAGAACGCTTATTCACACATAACAGGAATTTAACAGTTGGCATGAACATTGCCCAAACCAGACTCTACTAATGGTAGAGAAAAGGCCATTTCTGGCTCTTGAAAACACAACCGATTTTTTTACTCATTTCTCTGAAGCTTGGTGTATCACTAGAATCAGACAAATACCTAAATTAACAGTAGCTTAAATAGTTAGGGGGTGGTTATTCTTGCGAATAGTCAGAGATAGCTAGTTCAGAGCTGACATGATGGCACAGTGGTGTTATCAACAGTCCAGATTCGTTCCATCTTTCTGCCCTGCCATCCTTAGCACAAGACTTTTTGTCTTCATGGTTGCATACTGGCTGCTTCAGCCATACTGTGTTCACAAAAGGATGATGAGAACAAGGCAAAATGAAATGGAAAATAAAAAGTGAGACCTGAGGCTGGAGAGGTAAACTAGCCAGGTCTCTAGCAGCCATGTGGAGGATAAGTAGGGAAGGGGCAGGGTGTGCAGGAATTAACATGGGCAACATGGGGACCTGGTAGGAAGGAATTGTAATGGTTCAAGCAAGGCAAACTACAGATCTGAATTCACACAGTAGCAATGCGAAGAGAGGATGAAACTGAGGTATCGAAATGGTAAAGTAGGCAGGAATGTGAGTCGATGTGAGAGAGTGGAAGAGGTCAACATTGATTCTTAAGTTTCTGTCTTCATTTATGAAAAAAAGTGCAGGAAAAGCAGTCAGTCTTTAAAGATGACTCAGATTTGTGCACATTAAGTTCAAGATGTCTGTGGAACATATAAATGGAGACATCCAGGAGTCAGCTGGATATGAATATAAAAAAGGGGGAGTGGGCAGGGATGGAGATTGAAATTTTGAATCATCTGCAAACATATACATCCAAGGTAAAACAGAGTAGATACACTATAGTCTCCCAGGGAGCACACATAGCCATGGTTCTCAGTCTAATCCTGGGACACCAAATTATTAGGGGGTAAAGAAAAAGAATCTCAAGACCGAATGGCCAAGAAACTGGGAGCCAAACCAGGAGAGAGTGGCATCTTAGAAGCCAAGTGTGACAAGGAAGGAATAGCTAATAGGATGCATGTAAGGTAATGCACGCAAAAGAACTTTGGAAACCATCTTAGGAAAAATACAGTATTAGCTGTTTTAAGGAGGCACCCTTTAAACATCAAAACAAGTCCTCCTGATTTAAGAAACTCCCACTTGTATTGAGGAATACCAGGATTTGAGCACCACTAAATGAAATTCATTCCCTGACAGCCCAAAGCCATCAGAATTAAGGTAGAAGGCACATGTCAAGACAGTTACCATATGATTTTCTCTGCAAGAGATTCAGGAATCCATGATTCCCCGTGCTTACATTTTATCTCATGCCTTCTTCCCTGACCAGTTCAACACAAGCAGTCCTGAGATGTAGTATCTTCTTTTCCTGACAGTCAAAATGTGTCTCATGCTTTCCAACAGAGGCTGTCCTCTCGAAGGAAGAGGTACTTTTGGCCTGTAGCCCCACCCTTCCTCCTATTGGGTTCTTAAAGCCAGTTCTGCAGTGAGTGGGACACTTTCCAAATATAATAGCAAATGGAAACTTCTAATTACATCTGCACATAAAACTAATGTTCCAAATGGTGGTTCTGGTTCTAGTGAGTGCATGTAATTTGGTGTTATGTCAGCATCCATTTTCAAACTTGTTTATCTTTTAATAACAGAAGCAGGTCTCAATTACCATGGACAGTTTCCAGTACCATACCCCACGCAAACGGCTGGTTGCGAGAAATAAATATGTGACATGATAATAGGGCACTACTGCAGCTTCAAACTCCGGTTCAAGTTCCTCCCACCTCTGCCTTTTCACCTGCTTGCTTTAAATCACCAGTTAGAGCTCTCCAGAGGAAATTATCTGAATAAAGTTGCTGGCCCAGCCGTCGGTCCCTCCCTCCCCTACTCCACACTCACTCTCCTCGCCGTGTGCTCCCTGACCTCCGTGTGTGTGTGTGTGTGTGTGTGTGTGTGTCTCCCCTCTAGGCATGCTGTGTATCCCCCAAGGTCTGTAAGTACTAAAAACTCTTAAAACTTTCACACAGCTCTGTCATTGAAACCATTCCTGCAATCCAATCCCTGAAGGCGAGGCCACCCTGAAGGGACGGATTCACGCAGGGGGATCCCCTGCTCTTACTCTTCTGTCCCCGTCTCTGGTGGCTGCTGGGGGCACAGTAGCTACTAGCTTAAGTTGATAGAGACACTCAAAGAAGTTCATTCAAAACACTAGTCCCTGAGCAGCCCAGTAAGCTTTTAAACGCATAACAGAGTTCTGTTTCGGTTTCAAACAAAATCACAAGGCACAAATGCGACTGTGGCTGATGGCTGTTTGGAGGCTGCCCAAGTCTGACAGCAGGAAGCAGCGACGGACTGCAGCAGGGCCGCATAGCGTGACAGCCAGGCCTCGGGGCGCCCAGGGCACCAGCAAGGCCTGGGCACAAAAACGTTTTGAAAAACATTTTAATATACTTTAAAAAAACATAAAAGGGAAAATCAGAAGTCTTTGGATGTTTCCTACTGGTTTTATGTCCCATAGCAAATCCGAGGAGAACGCCCCAAACTTTCAGTTCCCTGGGGTTCTGAAGGTGCTCATCGAGTCCTGGCCACCGGACTTCTCAGAACCTGGGCCAGGAGGCTGAGGTCAGCGCGGCGGCGGGGGTGAGGGGTGTGAGGGTCCCTGCCGAGGTGTGGCCGCGCGGTGCAGGAGCCCGGAGCCCGGCTGCGCCCTGGGTCTGGCAGGTATCCCGGAGGGGCGGGGCCAGGGGCGGGGCCTTGCGGACCGGAGCGATCTGCTGCGGGCTGAGCGCAGAGGCTGCACGAGGCTGGAAGTGGATCCCAGGCGCCGCAAGGTAAGAAGGCCCGAGAGCCTGCTGGGGCTGGGGTGGGCCGAGCCGAGGCTGTGGTGGCGGCCTTGTGGGCCAAGGGAGAGTCTGCGGGGGGCTCCCCGCGTCCTCGCTTTCCACGCCCCCTCCCCGCCGGGCGAGCCTACAGAGGCCTGACGCTTTCGCCCGTCCCCGCGGCCCGGTGTCCTGGGCGAACGCCACTTCATTTTCATCTACGGGGAGGGAGAAGCAGGGAGCTGGTCCCCTCGCAGAAGCAGCCCCGTCCCCCATCCCTTCGGGGGCAGCCTCGTACCCGGACCCCCGCCACCGCTTTCTTCTCAAGGGAAGCTGTGGCAGTTTAGAGAAAATTCGCCAGTGGCGGGGAAGGCCAGCCCTCTGTGGTTCCCGGCTGTTCCTCTCTCCCCTCGCTGTCTAAATGTGTAATTTTGAAAAGCAGGTTTTGGGCGAAAAGGACATTTTAAGTACAACGTGATGTTTTGTTCTCTTGGGTCGGCTCGGGCCTCGCCCTTCTTAGAGTCTGACTGCTGACTTTTAAAAAACAACATTAGGCAATGTACCTTTTAAGGCCGTTTAGTGCCAGCCAGACTCTCCAATGGTCATTCGGGAAGTATTTAACGGCGCTTTATCTTCAGCCGGGCACAGCGGCTCATGCCTGTAATCCCAGCAATTTGGGAGGCCGAGGTGGGCGGATCACGAGGTCAGGAGATCGAGATGGTGAAACCCCGTCTCTACGAAAAATACAAAAATTAGCCAGGCAAGGTTGCACACGCCTGTAATCCCAGCTACTCAGGAGGCTGAGGCAGGAGAATCGCTTGAACCCGGGAGGCGGAGGTTGAAGTGAACCGAGATCGCGCCACCGCACTCCAGCCTGGCTACAGAGCAAGACTCCGTCTAAAACAAAAAACAAACAGCAGTAGGCTTCACGTCATAGGGTGGTTGAGATGATTGATGGAAAGCGCTTAGCACAAACGCGGTGGCTGCTAATATTTTAGGTACCCTGTGATCCCTGAACAGTTGTTCAAGTTCCCCACTCCTGGCAGATTACTCTCAGTTCCCTGAAGAAGGCACAGAGCTCAGAGTGTTGAGGGAGGTGGCAACGTGTACCAAAATGTGCCTATTTACATGGCCGTTTATGAAGGAGAGGCAGAAAGGGAGGCTGCCTCATCTACAAGCCAAACAGTCCTAAAACTTGTAGCCTCTAATTTTCACAGTGGAAACTAGAAACTGTTTGCTAAACTTAGTTGTAAGGAAAACATCCCATTAGCTGAATGGCTTGGGAGATAAAAACCCAAATAAAATGGATCTTAGGGTGGGAGAGTGGGTGCCTAATGGCATTCATCTTTGACAGCTGCTGGTAGAAGCCCTTGAAAAGGAGAGCAAGGAAAATTCTGGGCTATCTCTTTAAGAACCTCAGCCAAACCACCACAGACATTACCAAGCCCAGAAGTGCTTGAGGCTTTTTAAAGGCAAAGACTTGTTTTTACCTATGTCCCATATGTTTGTGAAATATCTTCACTCAACCTTGGTTTTGCTTGTGTACTTAACATAGTTGGGGCTGTGAGTGCAGAGGTAAGAGACTCTTTGGAGAGCTAGGGATAGGCGTTCAGGGACAAACTGCAGGAAACGCCCTAGTGGGGGAAGCCGTGGATTTGTTTGGTTCAAAGAGTTCTGACCTATTAAGTGGGAGCTGAACAATGAGAACACATGGACACAGGGAGGGGAACAACACACACTGGGGCCTGTCAGTGGGTGGGGTGGGTGTGGGTAAAGCATCAGGAAAGATAGCTAATGCATGCTGGGCTTATTACCTAGGTGATGGGTTGATAGGTGCAGCAAACCACCATGGCACACGTTTACCTATGAACTAACCTGCACATCCTGCACGTGTACCCTGCACGTGTATATATATATATATACACACACACACACACACACTACACACACAGTTCTGTTCTGGATTGGTTATTCCTGGCATGAGAACCTTGGCTGGCTGGGAGAGGCTTTTCCATTATGATGGGTGTTTTCTCTTTGATTCTTCCTGCTGATGTAATTGGTTCTGTGAACTGAGTGGTTGATACTTCCTGGGCACCTCAACAGGCTTGGCTAGAGCAGGTACTGTGTATGTCTCCAAGGTGACACGCAGACCTGGAGTTCAGAAGCTCTAGTTCGCAGACACAGCTGACACCAGGTATCTTGTGAGTTACCAGCCCCTGGCAAATAGAAACCAGATCCATTCAGGGTGATTTTGCGACTAACCTGTTGCCTTAGGACAGGTAATTTCATCCTGCTGGGCCTCCACTAATTTCCTATAAAATAAAGACATTGGGTTTTATTTTGAGGACATGTCTAGACCTAAAATTCTTCAGCCTTTAAGGCTTCAGGCTCCTAGGAGGAGTAACTATACTCATGGGCATCTGTGAATCTTGTGGAAACACCACTGATGTAAAAGCTATTCTCTAGTGACCTCAGCTTAACTAATGTATTCCCGAAAGTGAATTCACAAGAAGTCTCCTGTCTTCCTACTAGAGAGTGTAACTGTGGTTCTCTCAGAGCTTAGACCTGGGTTTAAATGCTGTTCTACCAGTTGCCAGTGAGGAAGTTGCTAAAATTTAATAATTTTACTTTTTTTTTTTTGGAGACAGCTTCACTCTTGCCCAAGCTGGAGTACAACGGCACAATCTTGGCCCACTGCACTCCAGCCTGGGTGACAGAGCGAGACTCCACCTCAGGAAAAAAAAAAAAAAAAAGAAATCTATCATGTTGAGATTTTTCTATGAAAATGTTCATTAAGAAAAAAAATGGATTTAAGCATAAACTGCTCATAATTCTTCCACTCTGTTAACCCACATGATCTAAATTCAGAAGATTGATGTATTCCAAGCGTGTGTGTGTGGAAGGCTGGATGCATATATGTTTTAAAGAAAATAATAATAGCTATATTTAAACTAGCTTTTTTTCTTAATTCATTGTGAACAGCCTTCCATGCCCATTACTTTTCCTGGCTCTGCAGTTCCCCACCATGGAAGTATACCAAAATATACTCAATTTTCTTTTTATTGGATGTGTGTGTCACTAAATTTTTGCTATTTTAAACAATGTTTGTATAACATTGACTGTTTCTTATTCCTGTGATGAAAGGCCTACTTGGAGCTCCCATTACAGAAATGACTTCGGAGTCAACTTACGCTCCAGCCAGGACAACCTGCCCTTCCTTCCTAAGGTTGGGAAAGACTTGTCCCTACATACCTTCTTTGAGGGATTTTTCAGTTGTGCATTCTTTAAAGGAACTAAAAATCATTCAGAATAGCAATATTATTAGAACAATAGCAATATTATTAGAACAGTCCTTAGGGACAAACCCACTGTTAGGAGTCCGGAGATGCTTGGAGAGGAGTTGAGTGGTGATGCTGAGAGTATCTTGCATGTAAGTTCTTGGTTTGGATGGAATTGCAGCACTTCGGGTTCATTTACAGCCATGAGGCACTGCGCCCCGCTGAACTGACATACTCTTAGCTAGATCACATGGTCTGCAGTGTTGAATGAAGGAGTACAGGCGGCGGCAGGGAGACTAGGAGACCATTGCACTGCAGTAACGTGAGGTGTTGGCCTGAACCAAAGTATTGTGAAACTGGCTAGATTGTAAACATTTTAAAGGTAAAGTCCACAAGATCTGCAGAGGAATGGATAATTGGGTGTTAGAGAATGGCATTAAAGATCTTTTATTTTTTTGAGAAAGAGTCTCGCTCTGTCATCCAGGTTGGAGTACAGTAGCACGATCTCAGCTCACTGCAACTTCTGCCTCCCAGGTTCAAACGATTCTCTTGCCTCAGCCTCCCAAATAGCTGAGATTACAGGTGTCCGCCACCATGCCCAGCTGATTTTTGCATTTTTAGTAGAGATGGGCTTTCACCGTATTGGCCAGGATAGTCTCGATCTCCTGACCTTGTGATCTGCCTGCCTCAGCCTCCCAAAGTGCTGGGATTACAGGCGTAAGCCACCGTGCCCAGCTAAAGATCTTTTATCTGCACTTAACTTATGGGCACCTTCCTTTTTTTTTTTTTTTTTTTTTACTTAAAATGGAGGATGTTTTAGACTAGGGAGTAGTTTTACCAAAAGACAGATGATCTATGACTACTAGAAAAGGAGCATTTTCATGTATGGATTTTCCTGATGTTTTGATGATACTTGGTTTATTTATTATAGAATATTTGGGGAAAGGATGGCAAAAATAAAGAATCGGGAAGAAAAAGAAAAAGCCGTAAATGATCTTGCTTAGTGTTAATTACCATCTGCATTTTAGGGCATTTATAAAATAGCCTTAAAACCATCAACTATTTCTTTTTCTGTCTCCCGCCCTCCTCTGCCCCCCCCCCCCCCACACACGCACTCCATCTGAACGTTTTGCTCTTGGAAATTCATATCTCTGCAGTGGTTCATAAAGGCCTGGTCTTATTTTGATCAAACAGCCTGACCCTGGCATCTGCACGTAGCTACTTCCTTCCTCTGCTATCTTGGATTCCCCTGCAGCATGTCATGGGATCAGCTGTAGCAGCAAGCAGCCAGTTTTATTTAACTGAGGCTAAGGCTTGACACTCCCCACCCACCCAGAAAACAGACGGCTGCCTTAAGTTTGATGCCTGAGGTCTCCCCTGCTCATTCAATTCAGGGTGTCTCTCTGGCGTCCAAGCACCTCACACCCTCCTCTGTCTCACTTCCCACCCTTCATCCCACAACAATCCCTCCCCATGCAGTTGCTTCCTCGGGTAACCTCATGACTTCTCAGTAACACTGACAGTGGCCACAGCTTTTTGAGTGTCATCTTTGGCCAGGCATTGTACTTTATGATACACATAACTGTCACCATGCTTACTAGCCAAAGCGTGGAGATCAGAGGTTAACATATAGCAAAGAGGTGGCAGGGCCAGAACTATCTGGCTTTGTTCGGAGGCCTCCAGACTAGACTGGAACACCTGTGCCCTGAACACTTTCACTGTGTCCTTCCTGCTTTCTTAGCAGGCCAGTTCTAAGGTACTCATCAAAGAACAGCTCCCTGTCAGGGACGCTGTGTGTTGTGGAAGTGTGATTTATGTCAAGGACCATTCCAAGGGAAGCATGCTGAGTCTGTAGCTCCTGCCATCTGGACACCTTTCCGGTGCCTAACCCAAGTCAGGAGGTTCCTTCCCTCCTCCTTCCACAGGGATGACATCGTAGCTACGTTGGGTTTTCCTTTCTTTAGAGACAGGGTCTTGCTCTGTCACCCAGGCTGGAGTGCAGTGGCACAGTCACAGCTCACTGCAGCCTTGACCTCCTGGGCTCAAGTGATCCTCCCACCTCGGCCTCCCAAGTAGCTGGGGTTACAGGTGTATGCCACCGCACCAGCCTAATTTTTTTTAAATGTTTTTATTTTTGTAGAGACAGGATCTCACTAATAATACCCAGGCTCCAATCATGCTATGCTTAACTTTTAGGAGGTGTCTGGAACTCTCTGTTGGGGGACCTCAGAACAATACCTTCCTCCCCCTGCTCACTTGTAGCAGTTCCTCATGGACTGGAGCCCTGTTTAACTTGAGTCTGTGACTCACCCTTCCTACTCAGAAACCCCTGACAATGGGGAACCGAGAAGGTGGCTGGCATTTGCTGGAGCCCAGGCCCCAGGGAAGGTCCACATGGGGGATGGTGTCCCATAGCAGGCTGTAGGTTTCAGAGCCCAGGGGGTGGTGGGGATCCATCAGTGTGTAAGGAAAGGCCAGGCCACAATTGTCTTTCTTCTGGTTTCTCACATATCATAAAGCCACCTCTTTCTCACCTCCACCACATCCATCCCCAGGGTTGACTCACTGAGCATTTTCTTCTTTGGACAATGTCAGACCCTGCCCTTTTCCTGGAACTTCTTAGTCCTCTGCTGGCCTGTACCAGCAAATTCTGTCAAGCTGTGACAAGTGATGATTTCGTAGCCCCAGGGAACTCTGCATTTCTAACTTAGAGGAGGGTAGGTGATCCACTGTTCCAAGAACCCCATCTGTCTGTCTTGGCCTGTGGGGCTCTTGAGAATAGAATATGGAGTATCCTGGTTTACAGGTGCTGCCACCTCCTTGTTTCAGGATGGGTTCAGAGACGTAGAGTTGGAGGGAGATTTCTTAGTTCTGCTGTGGATGCTTTGTATCTAGGTAAGTTTAAACCCTCCCCGTGCCTTGGCTTCTTTACTGGGTAAAGTATGGTTGGAGGCATTTCAGCCTTCCCTTCTTCTTACCTGATGCTATCACTACACATCTAAGCATTTGTGTAATGGAAACTTAAAAAGTTGCCCAATACCTCTCTTCATATCCCTAAAGGGAGCAAGGAAATGAACCCATTATACTTCTTACAGTGGGGAGAGAGAGCGTCTGGGTATGCTAAGCCATTGCTCTATGTTCTGCTGCTAAGTGCATGCTGGTGCCTTCCAGAGTCACCCCTTTGGTCCGATTCACTGAGTGCTGTGGTTCAGGGAAGTGGCCCTCTGTTTCAGCCAGCAGCCGGGGGTGGGGACAGTAGAGTGGGAACTGCAGTGGCTGTATGAGTCAGTTTGCACATGTTCTTGCTTGACTCTCTGACCGTGATGGGGCGGACAGTGTTACTCCTGTGACATGGTGGTGCACACTGGGGCTTATAGGGACTGAGCCTACTCAAGGGTATGTGGTGCTGTGGGTTAGAGCTGAGGTGTGGCCCAAAGATTCCTGACTCTGAGCCCAGTGTGCCTTGACTCCCCCTTAATACTCCTCTCAGAAGCCTCCTTGGCCTTCCAGCCCCTGGTTTTGGAGACAACCAGCAGTCATTTGTTGGTTCCTGACAGTCCTTCCTATCCCTTCCTTCCAGGTTCTTGGACAGTCACAATGGGAATCCAAGGAGGGTCTGTCCTGTTTGGGCTGCTGCTCGTCCTGGCTGTCTTCTGCCATTCAGGTGAGTGCTCCAGTTTCAGGACACAGATCTAGGCTGCCTTGGCCATGAAGTCCCTTCTTAGGCCTCAGTTTCAGCCCCAGCTCCTCCTCCAGGCCTGGCTTTGGTTCTTTTGACTTCCAGTGTTACAGGTCGGGTTGTATGACAGCTCCTTCCTATGTTATGACCTTGTCCTCAGTGGGGCATCTTCCTGAGTTACAACCCATCCTGAGTTACAAGGTGGCTTTTGGCAGGGGTACAAGTGGCTTCAACGCTCAGCGGCTGAAGTTTCACCCCTGTCACCATAAGCTGCTTGGGGACACCAGTGGATGCCATTCTTAGAGTGCTGTGCAAGTCCCTTTGGGGCACCACTCTGCTTGGAGCCATCTGAGCTCAGTCCTTCTGCCCTTGGGCTCCTCCCATGTTTTAACAATGATGATGGTCATAGTGACAGCAGCAGCAGCTAGCTAACCCTGACAGCATTTATGTGCCAGTCACTGTTCTAAGCATTTTACATGGATTTACTTATTTAGTCCACATGCCAACCAAACAGAGTAGGTATTATTTTTATCCTTGTTTTACAAGTAATAAGATTGAGACCCCCAAAATGAATAACTTGTCAAATAACACACACAAGTGGTGTGCTGGAATGTGAACACACGGTCTGGCAGCAGAGTCCCTGCTCTTCCTTCCTGCTCCAGGCCACCTGTCACTGGGCCACCCCTTCCCCTCACCCACCCAGCCCCTGGTTTCTGGGGGGAAATTGTGTGCTTCTGAGTGAACTTCTGTAACAGTGGAAACACATGGTAAGGATCAAATGCGGTTGTCTGCTTATGTCATGTTGGTATAACGTCTTGGCTGCTGGTGGGTTTTTTGTTTTGTTTTTATTTTATTTTATTTTTTTACTTTTTAGTAAACATTTTTATTGAGCTATAATTACACATACAGAAAAGTGCACATACAGCTTGATAAATATTCATAAGGTGAATGCACCTATGTAACCAGCACCTAGATCATGAAACAGAACATTACCAGCACCACAGAGTCCCCTTGTACCCTCTTTCAGTCCTACTGAGTTAAAGCCAGTTGAAAAATAATGTTTACTATATGGTTCCACTTATATAAAGTTCAAAAACAGACAAAACTAATTGATGGTGGTTTTGATAGTGTTTACCTTTGGGAAGAGAGGTAGTGACTGAAACGGGGTGCTGATTTCTGACACCATACGTAAATGCTGCCTGTTTTGAAATGGAATCAAAGTATGCACTTGTGTCTGGTAAAGCCTACTGATATTTGTATGTCAATTGTGTTTAATAGCTAATTTACTAAGTTTTTTTTTACTGTTTAGTTTTTCAACAAGTTCATTTGACCTTTCTAGATACATATTCATATCTGCAAATAGTTTTACCTCTTCCTTTCCAATTCACATGTCATTATTTTATCTAACTTCATTGGCTAAAACTCTCAACACATTGTTAAGTAGTAGAGGAGATAGTAGGCATACGTCTTGTTCCTGTCTTCAGCTTAAATTTCAAAGCAGAAAGTCTCTTCTGCTTTGAAATTTAAGATGCTGGCTTTTAGGCAGAGGTACAATGTTAATAGATTATTCATCAATTTCTAGTTAGTATATTTAACGTGAGTGCTGAATTTCTATCATGTCTTTTCTACAAAGATGAAATCATATAATTTTTTAAATTCTTAATATGATGAACATTAACAGGTTCTCTAGTATTGAATTACCCTTGCATTCTTATAATAAATACAGCTTAGTCATGATTACCTTTTGAAAGTGCTGTTGGATTGTTTGCTAATATATCATTAAAACTTTTCATTAATATTAATGAGATTGGTCTGTAATTTTTGGTACAATCTTTGTCAGGTTTTTTAATCAACGTTATTACATTCACTTTATAAAATTAATTTAAGAGTTTCTTTATTTTTTTTTGGCACTTTGAAGTTCAAGATTCTTTTCCTAGTCTCTAGATTGTTTAAGCAAGAATGGGATTATTTAATCTTAAAGGTTTGGTAGAAATTCCCTTGAAACAATCTGGGCTTGATACTTTCTTTGGTAAGGGGTACTTTCAGCTATTTGTTTCTTCTATGGTAATTGGTTTGTTCTGACTTTATCTACCTAAATTTCAGCAATTTGCATTTTTCTTAGTTTTCTAATTTACTGTGTAAAATTGCTCAAAGTAGTCAATTTAAACAGATTTCCTGTTTTACTATTTCCCCCTTGTCATTTACATTTTTGTATTTGTGCTTCCTCCTTTTTTTCTTTTTTTTTAAATATGGTTGGTAGGGGGAGCAGAAAAGGAAGTAGCAATACAATGAGCAATTTTTAAAAAGATCTCCACACCATTGTAGCATGTCTTATAATATTAGTAGCAACCATATATTGACTGCTTATTGTTTACTGGGGACTGGGCCAGAGCCTGTCTTTTAAATCTGTCCAACCATCCCAGGAGATCAGTGCTATTACGCCCATATTACTGCTGAGGAAATGAAGGCAAAGTAGTAACTTGCCCCAGGACACACTTTAACATGCTCTCCCTTTCTGAGCAGAAAGAGAAGTTATGACACCCCTCCTTCCCCACCTGCCCTAATTCTAGCCAGGGTGCAGTATAATGCAGTTCACCTGTGTTACAACACTGCCTTTTTTCTATAATTATTTTTTATTCATTTTTCTTTGTTCCTTCTTTTTTCTGTCTCTGCTGCTTCAATCAGAATATTTTCTAAAATTATCCCAGTGACATCCTACTTCCAGCAGTCTACATTTGTTTATGGAGCAAGCTTGGGACCATCAGATTCTCCATGACAGGTGTTGGGGTGCTTTTCAGCCCTTCCTCAGAGAATTGAGATGTAAAACTCACATGCCCACAGATGAGAGGCCTTCTTTGCTGCTGCCCCAAACCCTGCAGGGAACATTCCTCTGAACTCTGCCTCTTGTAGCCCAGGGGAAATCGCATCTACCCTGGCTTACTGGCTAAAATATCAAACAGTTGTCCACTGACCTACTGCTTGCTTTTTTTTTTTTTTTTTTTGAGGCAGAGTCTCACTCTGTCGCCCAGGCTGGAGTGTACAGTGGCGTGATCTTGGCTCACTGCAACGTCTGTCTCCCAGGTTCCAGAGCTCAAGCCTAGGCTGTCAGTTCTAAAACCCAAGCTTGGTTTAACCACAATGTTCTTCTAATTGACCTGAGTGGGAAGAGAAGGAAACTCTAGATTATGGGGGAAACTGAGGTCAAAAACAAGCAACAGAGCCAGGTACAATGACTCATGCCTGTAATCCCAAAACTTTGGGAGGCTGAGGTGGGTGAATCATTGGAGGTCAGGAATTCCAGAGCAGCCTGGCCAACATAGTGAAACCCAGCCTTTACTAAAAATACAAAAATGAGCCAGGCATGGTAGCATGTGCCTGTAATCCCAGCTACTCAGAAGACTGAGGCAGGAGAATCGCTGGAACCTGGGGGATGGAGGTTGCCGAATAGAATTCGTTTTAGGGGGATAACCATTTGCTTAATTGGGGTTCAAAATTAGTGTTCCCTGTTATCAAATCAATTGCAGATGTTTATTAATACTGATCTATGATGACATTTTACATATTTCATCTCTGAACATGAATTTTCAAGCAGATAGGTATTGTCCGATACTAATCATCAACCCACGAGTATGTGATTTAATTGGGCATATTCATTGCTTGGAAGGCACGTACAGAATTGTTTGTTTTTCGTGATACTTTCCTCTTAACACATCATTACATTGCAGATTAATCTCCTTCCAGTTGCAGGTGAGAAGGAAGCTTCTCAATTGCACAGTTAGGTGGATTTTCAAATGTGGATATTTCCTCTGTGCTTGCATCAGAGTCCAAAAAATGTTGCTGGAACTTTAGTTTGAGTTTGGAATGATATAACCGATATACATTTGTGTGGGAATGGAAGCATACCACAAGTTGCTGACTTTGGGCCGGTATTAATGGAGATGGTGGGCTGCCAGGGGACAAGTCAGTGTTGCTTTAAGAGATCGTGACTTTCTTCCTGATCCTAGGTAATAGCCTGCAGTGCTACAGCTGTCCTTTCCCAAACATTCGGTGCACTACGACCACCAACTGTACATCTAATCTTGATTCGTGTCTCGTTGTCAAAGCCGGTAAGAGCCTCCCCTGTCTGTCTCCTAAATGTAATGGGGTGATAAGTGCCTGGGAAAAAATTGTGCCACTGTAACTCTCATTAGACTTGCATCAGGTAATAGCTTCCATTTATTAGCATCAGGTGTGTATTGGGCACTAAGCACTTACTCCATGCATTTTAAACTTCATGTTTCGCACTCCTCAGGGTGATCTTTTATTCCCATTTGATAAATGGGGAAACTGAAGCTCAGATTAGGCAACAAATTATGGTCAAGTAACCACCTCAGGGTTTGAACATGGAAGTCCATCTGATTCCAAAGCTTGTGTTCTTTAACAGCGGCCCTGTGCTGCCTCCCAAACCCTGGAGAACCTATTGTGTACCCAGCAGAGGTCTAGGAGCTAGGGATGCAAAGATAAAGAAAGGATACTTACCATTACAATTATGACAAAGGCCTGTTTGGCTGTCCCAAACGACTTTTTGTATGCCTCTGTCTCATTCCATGGGGCATCTGGTATAGGCAGGGTCCTGAGGAGACTCAGGCTGAGCTGAAAGGGCTAGTAGGAGGTAAGAGGGCTAAGAGGGGAAAGGTGTTCTGTGAGGGGCAGCAGGTGCCAGGGCTCTGTGGCTCAGAGCGAAGTGCTCATGAATGTGGGGGTGGGGAGTGCTAACATGCACAAGTCCTGTCCAATCTGCATTTTCCAAATTGGTGGAAATATTGATGTAATATTCACCTCCATCAACCCTGTTAAAATAGAATTTAGGAAGTGGTAGACAGGAAAGAAACCAGCAAAGACATGCCCTCTGTTCTTGCTGGGTATGGTTCTGGATAGAATCAATGTGTGCAAATGATGCCAGCAAGGAATGGCAGTTTGAGAGGGTTCTCAGTGTCCAAGGTAAAACCCTCAGACTTACATTTCTAAGGGATTAATAATAAAACGCTCCTTAAGATTATTTGTACTTTTAGACCTTCTACACAAACTCCCCCCAATGTCACCATGAAGGAATGGTGAACATGTCAGGTAAACTCAGAAAAGCCTTCGGACACACACAGGTTCAGAAAAACTTAAGAAGATTAACTTCTCCAGAAAGGAGAAATCCCTCAATAAGTAAAGACAAATTATAGTTACCCTGTCTAAAAAACCGGGAACATCTGATAATTTTGATCTCGATTTCTGGATTACACCTAAAACTCCATTCACTGTTAGTGTAGAAAGTGTAGTAAGGCCCTTAGAGAGAATGTGGTCATTATATATGAGCACAGAAGACCTGGCTCTTTAGCTTGATCAGCTGTGTCTCTTGGACTCCTCACTACTAAGTATAATTAAACTAAGTATAATTTCCAAATGAGACAGTTAGGGCAATTACCACGTGTTGAATGAATATTGGAGCAGCAGTGAGGAGCTCTGACTTCTGTCCTGCCACCAGCTAGTTCTCTCCACCTCTGTTTCTCATTTATGAAAAGTGTGTACTGGACAGCAGAGGAAGGGAGGAGAGGAGAGCAGCTCAGAGCCAAGATCTTTTTCCAGTTCTTAAGTCCCAAAATTTCTTATAAATGGTTAATGTAAACAACAATGGACAATGAGACACACTATTAAAATGACCAAAATCCAAAACACTGACAACTCCAGATGCCGGTGAGGATGTGGAACAATGGGAACCTTGTTTTTTTGTTTTTTGAGACAAGGTCTTACTCTGTCGCCTAAGCTAGAAGGCAGTGGTGCAGTCTTGGCTCACTGCAACCTCTGCCTTCAGGGTTCAAGTGATTCTCATGCCTCAGCCTCCTGAGTAATCGGGATTACAGGCATAAGCCACCACACACAGCTCATTTTTGGATTTTTAGTAGAGATGGGGTTTCACTATGTTGCCCAGGCTCTCTCAAACTCCTGGCCTCAAGTGATCTGCCCCCCTCAGCCTCCCAAAGTGCTGGGATTACAGGCATGAGCCACCATGCCTGACCAAAATTTAAAAGTTTCTAAAGTAAAGTGACAGTAAGCTAGGAATGATTTTTTTTTTAATAAGCTTAGTGTAGACTAAATGTACAGTATTTGAAACATCTGCAGTAGCGTACAGTAATGTCTAAGCCTTCACATTCACCCACCACTCACTGACTTCCAGTCCCACAAGCTCCTTTCACGGTAAGTGCCCTAAAGAGGTGCACCATTTAAAAAAATCTTTTGTACCATATTTTTACTATACCTTTTCTATGTTTAGATATGGTTAGATACACAAACAAGTTGGCTGCTAATTCAGCCAGTATCTACTGGCATCGTAGCAGTATAAACCATGGAAGTATAAGCCATGTTAAATATACTTAGTCTTGAAGGAGCCTCTGATGGCAGTGCCACGTGGTCATTGCTGTAATGACATTCTGAGCAAGGGCCACAGTTAAGGGTGCCTATGATGACTGAAGACTGTTGGCTTTAGATAGACTTGAGTCAAAGTCTTCAAAGAGTGGGGAGGAGAAAACCTCTAACACCCCAGGGACTCTGATTTAATCCACTTTTATGTGGGTAATTCTGAGGCTGGCTTTGGTGAGAAGATGACCATCGTAAGGCTGTTGTTTGAATATGATAATTCAAGTAAAGCACTTTGGTACGCTGCAGGACACATAGTAAGTGATTAATTGGCAGCAATTATTAATAAATTACTGTCTGTTCTCCCCAAGCTGCTAGGCTTCCCTAATTAAAATTCTGATAGCTTTAAAGCTTTTCAAGTTCCAGTACTTAATTACTATTCCATAAAGCTGTAACTTGTCCTAATCACCAGCAGCCTCTAATACAGCATTAGAGGCTTCTACTTATTTAGTTAAGACTCAAGCAAGTACAGCCATTTCTGGATACTCTATCTGGACTCTGCCACTTGACCAAACTTCATTAAATTCCAATCGAGATACCCATCCCCTCTGAGGAGAAGGACAGGACATTTAATGCCTGCAGTTATAAACTGAGAAATGTTGTGTTCCAAGCTATGCATGGAATTGGGTAAATTAGCTACAAGCCTGAAATAAGGAAGTATGCAACTGCATTTTTTTCTTTTCAGCACAGAAGTTAAGAAAACAATTGCAGGGCAAGGACAAATACCTTATTATACCCTGGTATCTGGCACATAGACACTCAGTTATTTTTTGGAGAAGAAAATCTACCATAACGCCACTTTCTCAACTAATACATTTTTCACCTAACATGCTTTTTCTGAATATTAAAAAACCACGATAAGATATTTGGACTGTATACTTCTGGCCTTTATTATCCTGTGTGCCCAAGAATATTTTTCCAAAAATGGGACCATGATGGCATGTTCTTATGGAAACTTTTCCTGTATTACTGAAGAATCTAATTATTTTAAAAATGACGTTTCAAATATTTTAAAAATAAATCATCCAGGTGGCAAATTTTTAAAACTTGATCGTTACAGAAACATAAACGAAGTATACTCTTCCATGATGATAACACCATTAAATTACTTGGGAATCCTTCCAGAGAAAAATTAATGCACTTACCTCAATGTATATATGTTTTATTTACACAAATGGGTCACGTTCTATACACTGTTCTACATCTAGGGTTTTTTTTTATTGAGATATAATTTACATACCAGAACATTGACATTTTTAAGTGTATAATTCAGTGCCTCTTAGTGTATTTACAAGGTTGTGTGACTATCGCCACTAATTCCGGGATCTTTCTATAACCTCAAAAAGAAACCTGTTAGCAGTCAGTCCTCATTCCTCCCTCCCGCGTGCCCGAGCAGTCACTGATCCACTTTCTGTCTTCATGGATTTGGCTCTCCTGGGCACTTCATATGCAAGGAATCATACAGTATTGTGGTGCTTTGTGACCAACTTTTTTTGGTTGTTTTTATTTTATTTTATTTTATTTTATTTTATTTTATTATACTTTAAGTTGGGTTACACATGCAGAACGTGCAGGTTTGTTACGTAGGTACATGTGAGCCATGGTGGTTTGCTGCACCCATCAACCCATCATCTACATTAGGTATTTCTTCTAATGCTATCCCTCTCCTATCCCCCCAACCCCTGACACGTCCTGGTGTGTGATGTTTCCCTTCCTGTGTCCATGTGTTCTCATTGTTCAACTCCCACTTATGAGCGAGAACATGCAGTTTGGTTTTCTGTTCTTGTGTTAGTTTGCTGAGAATGATGGTTTCCAGCTTTATCTATGTCCTGCAAAGGACATGAACTCATCCTTTTTTATGGCTGCATAGTATTCCATGATATATGTGCCACATTTTCTTTATCCAGTCTATCATTGATTGGCATTTGTGTTGGTTGCAAGTCTTTGCTATTGTGAACAGTGCTGCAATAAACATATGTGTGCCTATGTCTTTATAGTAGAATGATTTGTAATCCTTTGGGTATATACCTAGTAATGGGATTGCTAGGTCAAATGCTATTTCTGGTTCTAGATCCTTGAAGAATCACCACACTGTCTTCCACAATGGTTGAACTAATCTACACTCCCACCAACAGTATAAAAGTATTCCTATTTCTCCACCTCCTCTCCAGCATCTGTTGTCTCCTGACTTTCTAATGATCGCCATTCTAACTGGCATGAGATGGTATCTTATCGCGGTTTTGATTTGCATGTCTCTAATGAGACTGGCTTTTTTTTCACTAAGCATAATGTTTCCAAGGTTCACTCATGCCGTGGCATGTATCAGTACATTCTGTCATGGCCACATAATATTCCATTGTGTGGAGATACCACATTTTGTTTATCCATTCACCAGTTACTGGACATAGGGTTGTTTCCACTTTTTAGCAATTTTGAATCATGGTACCATGAACATTCATGTGCAAACTTGGTGTGAATGTAGTTTTCAATTCTTTTAAGTATATGCACTCAGGAGTGGATTGCTCGGTCAAATGGATAACTCTGTCTTTAACTCTTTGCAGAAATGCCAAATTTGTCCAGAGTATCTGTACCATTTTACATTCCCACCAACAATGTTTGAAGGTCATCAGTGTCTAGGTCATCAACCTAGATGTCTCTACTTGCACAGGATACATTCTCAATAGAATTAAGGGTCCAAAGGCAGATACAGAAGTCTCCCCATTTACTTTCTTACCCTTGTGTGTGTGTCTCCCCACAGGGTTACGAGTATATAACCGGTGTTGGAAGTTTGAGGATTGCACTTTCAGCCGCATCTCAAACCAATTGTCGGAAAATGAGTTAAAGTATCACTGCTGCCAGAAGGACCTGTGTAACTTTAACGACGCACTTCAAAATGGTGGGACAACCTTATCAAAGAAGACGGTTCTTCTGCTGGTGACCCCATTTCTGGCAGCAGCCTGGAACCTTCATCCCTAAGTCAACACCAGGAGAGCTTCTCCTCAACTCCCATTCCTGTGTAGTCCCTTTCCCTTGCCACCACAGTCTAAAGGCTTGATATTTTCCAACTGGATCCTGTTGGGAAAGAATAAAATTAGATGCAGCAACTTGGGTAAGATAGAGCGGCTCTGGGAGATTTTGAAGATGAGTCCTATTTGCAGGGAAGCCCCACTTGAAGGAAGAAGTTTAAGAGTGAAGTCGGTGTGACTTGAACTAGATTACATGTTGCTTCCTTTGCTCTTGGGAGGACCAGCTTTGCAGTGACAGCTTGAGTCCAATCTCGGCAACTCTCAGATATTTTCCCTCTGGCTCCTTGGGTATAGTCAATTAGCATCATTAGTACATTTTTGGAGGGTAGAGCAGGAGTGTGTGAGCATTCTTTCTCATATGGAACACTTCCATAAACTTCAGGGCTCCCAAATTGCCATGGAGGCATGCCAAGCAGGGCTAGAGGACTTCTGGCAGGGAAGCGGGCAAGTGTTCCAGATGGCAGGGCATGAAAACTTAGTGAGGTACCAGGAGCTGAAAGTTGAGTTTTTCCCCGTCTTTAAATTTTATATGGGCTTTGTTACCTTTCACTGGAAAAGTATAATAGCATACATTAATAGTGTGTTAAAGCTATTTTCTCTCCTTTTTTAAAATTGGAATGGTGGGATACCTTGGCTTTGCCACACACAGTTACAGAGTGGACACTCTGTGCTACATGTAACTAGCAGTATTAAGTGTCATTATTTTAAATGTTACTGGTAAGAAGGCCGTTCAGGTATGTGTGTATACAGTATGAATGCAATGGTAACAGCCTTTGGGGTTGTAGTTTGAGACTTCCAAAGGCCATTCTTAATAACAACAGATCTGCAGCGGTGTGTTTTATTTGTCTGCATCCAGCCTCCTGTTAACTCCTAGCTGACTTAGCATAGACTGTATAAAATGCCTTTGTAAGGGCTATTAGCACAGTCACAGGTGTTTGAGGCTTTCAGAAGCTCTTTCTAAAAAACGATACGTACCTTTCACAAAGGCACACTTTTTCCTTTTCCCTGTACATTCTAGTGAATAAATCTCAAGACTCGGTAGACCTAATGTCATTTGTATTATGATCTTGGCTGTATTTAATGGCATAGCCTGACTTTTGCAGATGCAGGAATTTCTTGATTAGCTTTGAAAAAATGAAAAATAGAAAAACTCTTTATTAAACTCTATTGGACAAATCAAGTGCAATGCATGATGCCTTTTGGAAAATGAAATATAACAAGTGGATGAATGTGTTATGGCCCCAAAAGATAAGAACATATGCAATATGCTTAATGATGGCAACTGAAAGAAGACATCATGAGCTGGGCCAGCTTTCTTCTGTTTATGCCATTGCCTAAACATAGAAAAATAGAGACTTGCTCATCAAAACTGAGCATTACCTTGGTGCTCTGTGTTCTCTGTTAGCTCAGTGTCTTTCCTTACATCATCTTTAATTCTCTGTTTCAAGACGAAATGCTACGTGTGACTTTTTTCTCAGTAGGATTTTTTTTTTTTTTTTTTTTTTTTTTTGGCCTGCGGAAGTACTGACCATGCCCACAGCCACTGGCTGAGCAAAGAAGCTCATTTCATGTGAGTTCTAAGGAATGAGAACCAATTTTGACTAAGCAGAAAATGAATATTTTGAAACTTTGTTGGGGGTGAGGGGGTGGGAAATTCAGCCACACTCCAAAAAGCCAGGAGTTGGGCAGCTCTGGAAATCTCTTTCAGGATTCAGATTCTAGGATGAGATTGGCTTACTGCTGTCTTGTGTCATGTACCCACCTTTTGGCCAGACTACACGGGGAAGAAGGTAGTCCTTAAAGCAGAATCTGGGTGCTACTAAATGGGGAGATGGGGAGAGGGCTGTTGAGCTGCCAGAATCAACAAGGGACATATAAACGGCATTAAACTTTGGGGTTGCTTTCTGCAGAAAGTTGCTGTGACTCGTGCCATAGACTACGTTGAATGCCTGGACCCAAAGGCAATACTATAAAGACGTTTCCAGTGGAGAGCACAAAGTATTGACCCTCTGCTCGAGATCACAATGCATTTACCCCACTGACTTTGACTTGAGTGAAAACTAGTCAGAAGTTTCTTTTTCAGATAACTTATAGGCTATTCAATATAAGATTTTTATAATGGATAATCTTATTTATCTAAACTAAAGCTTTCTGTTTATACACACTCCTATTATTTTGGGGTAAGCTAAAATAAAGGGTCCTCCAGAGGGACAGAACTAATAGGCTATATGTGTATATGAAAGAGAGGTTAATAGAATTGGCTCCCACAATGATAAGGCGAAGTCCCGCAATAGGCTGTCTGCTGGGATAGAGAGAAGCCAGTAGTGGCTCAGTCTGAGTCCAAAAACCTCAAAACTGGGGAAGCTGACAGTGCAACCTTCAGTATGTGGCCAAAAGTCCCTGAGCCCCTGGCAAGCCACTGGTGCAAGTCCCAGAGTCCAAGGGCTGAAGAACCTGGAGTCTGCTGTCCAAGGGGAGGGAGAGTGGAAGGAAGCATCCAGCACAGGGAAAAAGAAGGAAGTCAGAAGACTCAGCAAGCAAGATAGACAGTGTCTACCACCACAGTGGCCATACTGAAGAGGCCACCGATTCCTTCCTGCTACCTGGATCCTTAAAGTTGCCCTGTTCTCTGCAGCCCCTAAACAGAGTTCTGAAGAGCTTTCAGTTCATGAGCTGTCTCATAGCCCTCCAAAATAACTCAGTGTCAGCTTCCGTTGCTTGTGCACAGAAAATTCTGACAGACCTACACTGTAAGTGCTACTGTCAGGATAACATGAGAACATGCAATGGTGTACTGTGGTCACTAAGTGTTAGCTACAGTTATTTTGTCCAAGGTAGCATGGCTAGTTGATGCTGACTGCTGGGGCTTAAACTCAGCTCCCTCATCTCCGAGGCCTCTGTTCTCCCTATTCCACTAAACTACTTCTCAAGTTTCAGCTTATTTTTTTAAGGCTTTACTCTGCAAGTAGGTAGGACCACATTTACCCTGGGAAACAAGAATAAGGGCTGGTCTGCATTTTTTAGAAACTTTCTTGAAAGGGAGATGGGAATGCCTACACCCCCAAGGCCAGACCAACACAATGGTTAATTGAGATGAGTAATAAAAGAAAGACTGTTCTGGGCTTCCCAGAATAGCTTGGTCCTTAAATTGTGGCACAAACAACTTTCAGAGCCAGCCTCCTCCCAAGAAGAGGTGTAAGAGACTAGAGGCCATGTGTGTGGCCTTGCCCTGAGGCTGGGGTGACAATTTGGAGGCTGTCCAAACACCCTGGCCTCTAGAGCTGGCCTGTTCATACGGAATGCCAGCTCTGATGCCAATCAATCACCCTCAGGAGAGTTACTTAACCTTACATGCCTCAATTTTCTCATCTGGAAAATGAGAACCATAGGCTTAGGGTTTTAGAAAAGTTAAATCAGTTAAGACAAGCACCTGTGACAGAGGCCTCTCTTGTATGTTTATTATCATTATGTCTTAGCAGGTTGAATAAGAAGCTTCTCAGGTGTGAGGCTGGCAAAATGATCTGGAGTGGCTGGGTTTTCTAGGATGGACTCCCTGCTGCATTTTCCTCATTCATCCACCATGGTTTAATGAGGAATTAAGGAATCCATGTGTAACTGTATAATAACTAACGTGAGCACCACACTTCAGTGAGCACCTACTATTTGTCCCTGGCACTGTTTATACATATTTTCATCAAATACATCAACCCTATGAAGTAGATACTGTCTTCATTTTATAGATCAGAGAAAATTGAGGTTCAGAGAGCTGATGTGATTTTTCTCAGGGTCACAGAGAGTCCCAGATTCAAGCACAACTTCCAAGACACAAGCACTACATGTCCTAAAAGGCTGCCCAGAGCCACCAGGCATGGCAAATTGTGACATATCCCTACAGAGGCTGAGCACCTGGTGAGGGTCTGATTGCTGACAGTGTGTCCAGATTCAGAGCTGGAGTGAGGGAGGGAAGGGGGGCTCCTTGGCACAGAGAAGGCTTTCTGTGCTCTCTCTGAAGGGAGCAGTCTGAGGACTAACGAAACCAGGCAAACAGCACCCCGGGTACTCCAGGCCTTCCTGGCTAGAGATGGCTGTGGCAATGGAAAATGAGAAGTGCCAGCTGCAGTGAGTCAACCCAGGTTAAACAGCGCAAGTGAGAGTGCTGGACAGGACCCTCCACCCTCACATCACATTTCCTCAATGTGACCCTTCTGGGCCCTCTCCTCCTGATAGCAGAACAATGACTGCCCTGGTTGGTGAGGCTAGAGGAAGAATCAGTCCTGTCCTTGGCAAGCTCTTCACTATGACAGTAAAGGCCCTCTCCCCACAGCCAAGGCCTGTGACTTTCTAACCTGGCCTCACGCTGGGTAAGCTTAAGGTACAGGTGTAGGATTGGCAAGCCCACCTGGCTACCAGGCCAATAGCTCCATTCTCCAGCTGATCAATGAAGAGGGACTCGTGTGTCTGTCTCAGTTGGTTCCAAATGAAGCCAGGGAGCAGGGGCATGAGGAATCAAATCGCTCACGCTCCAATGGGATGGTACTTAGTGGGGAATCTGAGTGGAGAGGTAGGTGACAGTGCTTTGGAGCCCAGGGATGGAAAGGTTCTGTTGAAGTTGAATTCAAGACTGTTCTGTCTTTCACCAACTTGAGTTTCCTGGACATTTGTTTGCAGAAACAACCATAGGGTTTTGCCTTAAACCTCGTGGGTTTATTATTACCTCACAGGGACTTCGCCTCCTGACTGCAGTTTAGCTCAGTGTTCATTATGGCACTTGAGTTTTCTTGTGTAGTTGTTAGAGAAAACAAGTTTGTCATCAATTTCTTATTTAACCCACTGGCAACAATTTCATGGATTATGTTATAAATAAACCATCCACAGTAAAATCTGTTTAGATTATCTTGGAGTAAGGGGGGAAAATAATTACTTTTCTCCTCAACTAGATCTATACACACAAAAACCATGATTTTATTGCTTCATTTAAAAAAAATGCAAAATCTCTTTCCTTTCTAAGGGCCTTCTTGTATTCATAAGAGCTAATGTTGAGTACAAGCCGTCGTCAGGTACTTACTCTGTCTCATTTAGTCTTGCCAGTCTAAGCAAGTAGATGCCATTACTGTTCCCATTATATTGATGAAAAAATGAGATTGAGAAAGGTTCAACAACACAGCCAAATACATAGTGGATCCAGGGTTTGGTCCCAAGTCTGAGTCCAAAACCCTGGTTCTTACCAACACTATGGTTTTATAGGGGTAAAAAAATCTTTCATCTGATCTCTTTTTTTCTTTTTTTTTTTTTAAAGGTAATCAGTTATTTAATTAGATCATCAGGACATTTAAAATACCAATTTGTGAGGATAAATTCCATTTGTCAGGGCAAACACAGATCGCAGGTAGCCCTGGAGCTGAGGAATAGCTTTGATTTTTGGTAAAATTTGTGAGTCCACAGCTTTCTGATCAATCTTGCGCTGCTCTGTAATCTCGTATTTCTCTTTTTCTGTGTCGAAGATCTCACCTTCCTGGTGTCTGGGCTTTCGCAGCTTCTTCTTCTTGAAGTAAGCATCAGTAAGATGTTTTGGGATTTTTACATTGCTGATATCAATTTTGGTTGAGGTGGCAATGACAAATTTCTGATGCGTTCTTCGCAGAGGAACTCGATTGAGGACCAGAGGTCCAGTCACAAGTAATAAGCCACTAGCCAGCTGCTTCAGGAAAACCATCCTTTTGCCCCTGTGGCGTCCAGTGAGGATGATCAGAATGGTCCCGGGGGTGATGCTGGCTCGCAGTTTTCTCACGTGCTGACTGAAGGGTTTTTTGCCGTGGCTCAACAGCTTTCGAGGCACATCTTCAGTAGGATAATACCTAGGCATTTTGCGAAGTTTAACCACCCGGGTACCGCCATTTTTGTCACCACCAACTGGTTTTGTAACAGTTGCAAGAACCTTCTCCTTCTTTTTCTTTTCAACCTTGGATTTAGCCGCTGAGTACTTCCTCTTGTACATGGCCTTTCTGGAATACATGGCAGATCGGGAATACCTGCCAATTCCTCTGACAAGAACAGGATTGCGGCTGCAATGGGGCTTCCCCTTTTTGGGCTTTTTAGCCTTGGGGTTACCCTTTTTCACTTTGCTACCAGCATCAGCCTTCTTGGCTTCAGGTTTCTTCTCTTTAGTATCCGGCTTCTCAACTTTTTCACCCGCCATCTTGCAAGATGGGAAAGAGCTCATCTGATCTCTTAGGTTCAGAGTCTGGGACCTGAGAATCAAACTGACAAAAACAGATTAACAGAAGTCAAAGTTTATTGCACATTATTGGAAATAGATGCTTGGTGCCGCAAAGAAAAATCAGCACTGAGACAAAGGATCTTTTAGCAACGCAATTTTTGCTTCCCGGACTACGGGCGGGGTACTCTCACTAGCCATGTTGGCACAAGAGTACAATGAACAAAGGAAAACACACAGATTTATCCCTTGTGCATTTGGGGTCATCCTTACTGCTGTGTTTGATCCTCGTTGGCTGGAGCCAGACCTCACAATCTAAAACCCGATTGGCTAACAACTTAAAACTTTTCTAGGCCTGGCGCGGTGGCTCACGCCTGTAATCCCAGCACTTTGGGAGGCCAAGGCGGATGGATCACGAGGTCAAGAGATCATAGACCATCCTGGTCAACATAGTGAAACCCCGTCTCTACTAAAAACACACACACAAAAAATCAGCTGGGCATGGTGGCGCATGCCTGTAATCCCAGCTACTCAGGAGGCTGAGGCAGGAGAATTGCCTAAACCCGGGAGGTGGAGGTTGCGGTGAGCTGAGATCACGCCATTGCACTCCAGCCTGGGCAACAAGAGCGAAACTCCAT